GCCTACGACCTGGCCAAGCGCATCATCCACCTGGTCACCGCCGTGGGCGCCAAGATCAACGCCGACCCCGACACCAAGGACCTCCTGCAGCTCTATTTCCTGCCGGACTACAACGTGTCACTCGCAGAGATCATCATCCCCGGTGAGACACACAACACACACACACACACACACACCATCTACCCATCCCCCTTACCCCATATCCTTCACTCCTTACCCCTCCCCCGCATCGGCAACCCCGCACACCGCTTGAACCCCCACACTTCCCACCCAACGCGGGCTGGCCGGATGGGCGGAAGTTGCGCCGCACTCCCCGGCCCTTTGGTTTCCCAGCAGCCGGCCGGGCCGTCCCTGGGCGGATCAGGCGCTTGTCCGGCAGCGATCCGCGCAGGGCCCGCCCCGGCAAGCGGGGCCGCGCGGCCGCATGTGCCCCCATGTGTCTTGGACCCGAATATGTACACGCGCACACCTTATTCTGCGGACATCGCCCCTTCAACGCGCCACCACCCCTCACATGCCCCCACTCCCCAGCCGCGGAGCTGAGCCAGCACATCAGCACGGCGGGCACGGAGGCCAGCGGCACTTCCAACATGAAGTTCCAGATGAACGGGTGGGTCGGCCCAAGGGGGGGGGCGATGACGTCACCTTGCTGGGAGTCGGGTGTGCCCAGAACCACGGCAAGGGTTCCACATGCGTGCTGGTTTGGGGGGGGGGTTGTGCAGCCATCACTCTTGCTTGCTACCCGTGATGCCTTCAACTGCGCACGCACTCACACACACACACACACGCGCGCGCGCACGCACGCCCGCCCCCCAGGTGCCTGATCATCGGCACCATGGACGGCGCCAACATCGAGATCGCCGAGGAGAGCGGCAAGGTGCGCCCTACGGGACGCCAGCCTCTGATGACGTGTGTCGCGTTTCTTGAGGGCCGGCTGCTCAGGCAACGGCCCGCATAAGCCTCAGCGCCGGCCCCCTCTGCGGCCGCATTCGCTCTGTCTCGAGGCGGCCCCGCAGGCAGCCCTGGCCTGCGCCACCCTGCACCAGCACCTCGTCGGGCCGCCTGTTTACACACACACCGCAAACACGCACCCCTCTTGCAAAACAAATTCCAATTCAAGCACTGCTCTCGCCCCCTTTGACCACACAATCCCCAGGAGAACATGTTTGTGTTTGGCGTTGACGCGGACGACGTGCCCCGGCTGCGCAAGGAGCGCAAGAACTTCAAGACCGACAAGAGGCAAGCCCAGAGGGGGGGCGTGCGTGTCCGCTCGTGCGCTGCGGCGCTCGGGGCCGCAGGCTTCGAGGCCGGGCCGCTGGCTGCGCGCGTGCTCGCGCTCTGTCCGAGTTCGCCAGGTCTGGTGCAGGTGTGTCGTCTGTGGGGTTGCTTATCTCTTCAAGATTCTCATCGGCTGATCGGCTCTCTGACCGCTGCGATGGCGTGCACGCTCCATCCATCAAACCATGACGCCACCAGGTTTGATGAGATCATGGCTGACATCGAGAGCGGCGTGTTTGGTGACAAGGACTACTTCAAGCCCCTGGTGGACAGCATCTCAAACATGAAGGTGCGCGTGCGCGCGCGCGTGTGTGTGTGTGTGTGTGTGTGTGTGCGCGCATGCATGCGCATCAGTGGTGAGAGGGCGTGAGTATTTGCCGTGTGCCTGTGCGAAGGAGTGGGGACAAGATGGACCCAGAGAAGGCAGGGCTGCCTCTCATGAGATAGCACCGCCGCCGCCGCACCCTCATCTTACCCCCCTGCTCCCGCCTCACTCCACTCCCGAGTCCCTTGAGGGGGCCCCGCCCGCCATCGCCCAGCCCCAACCCCTCGCCCGAATTCCCCCTCCCCGTCGCCCCGTCCGCAAATTCTCATCATAGTATTCTACCAACAAAACACCGCACCCCTTCCCATGCACTTTGATCCCCCGACACTCACCGCACAACCACCCCACCACACGCAAACACGCCTTCCCCCCACCTCCAAATATCTCATCTCACCCCAAATATCTCATCTCACCCCAAATACCTCATCCCCCAGGTCGGCAACGACTGGTTCCTGGTGGCCAACGACTTTGCGGACTACCTCAGGGCGCAGGAGGAGGTCGACGAGGTGCGGCGCACAGCCGCACACAGCGGCGGCCTGTCATCTGCATGTGTAGTGTGGGCCTGGGCATGCAGGGCCCGGGGATGCGCTGGGGCCCCTCGGCGGGCAGGGCGCGCGCCCCCGCTCGGCGGCCGCCCCGCGCCCCGGCGGACGTCGCCCCTAGTGCGTCCCCCCTCTCCCGTCTCGTTTCTGATGCCCCTCCTCCCCCTCACGCACCTCCTTTTCCCCAGTTGACGCACGCAACAACCATTGTCCCCTCGTTCCCATAATTC